TACGCGTCAACGTCGAAACATCCCGATGAGGAGGTGGAGGAAATGTATGAGGACATTTCTAGAGCCATGCATTCCACCAAAACTCACTATATGGTGTTAATGGGGGACTTCAACGCAAAACTGGGCACAAGAAGGAACAGTGAGCTGAAGGTAGGGAAATTTGGGATAGGGCAACGGAACCCAAGGGGCCAGCAGCTGGCCGACTTCATGGAGAAAGAGGGACTTTTTATGATGAACTCTTTCTTCCAGAAGCGGCTCCACGGAATCGCGACAAAAAACGAGATTGATTTCATTATGACGACCAGATGCCTACTGTTCAGTGATGTCTCAGTGATCGCAAGGGTGAAAACTGGCAGCGATCACCGAATGGTTAGAGTCACACTGAACCTAAACGTTAAGTTGTAGAGGTCTCGTCTAATGAAGTCAACGCTCCGCCCAACTCGTGCTCTAATCCAGAATCCCGAAACCTTTTAGCTCGAGTTACGTAACCGCTTTCAGTGCCTAGAAGATTGCAATGCAGTGGACGATATGAATGACAAGCTCGTGGAAACTGTCCATGCGGTCGGAGCTAAGTTCCGCAAGACCCGCCGCAGAAGAACACAAAAACTCTCCGATCACACTCTTAATCTCATGGCTGTTAGAGGAGATGAGGCTGCAATAGTCAACAGATTTGACAGCATACAGGCAACTGAATAGACAGATCTCCAAATGCATGCAGCGAGACTTACGCAACTTTAATACTGCTCGTATTAAAGAAGCGATCGAGCGGAGCCAGAGCTCCAAAGTCTTTGCCAGACATTTGTCTGCCAGAAAGAGCCAACTGTCAAGGCTGAAAACTGAGTGTGGCAGCATCGTTTCCGGGACACCTGAGATTTTGAGTGAGATTAAGAGGTTCTATGGGCAGCTGTACACATCATCGTTGGAGCCACACACAAGTGAGAGTAACGATCCAAGAGCAAGTCTTATCCGACACTATTCCGATGATATCCCGGACGTCAGTCTAAGCGAGATTAGAATGGCTCTCCACCACCTTAAAAACGGCAGGGTCCCAGGTGAGGATGGAATTACAGCGGAGCTTCTGAAAGCCGGTGTAACACCGATAATTGAAGTCCTTTAGAAGTTCTTCAATTCCGTCCTCCATGGTGGCACTACTCCGGAGGCGTGGAGCAGAGGTGCGATGGTCTTGTTCTTTAAGAAAGGCGACAACACTCTTTTGAAGAACTACAGACCGATTTCCCTTCTGAGCCGCATCTACGTGCTGTTTTCGAGAGTCATTACGAACCGTCTCGCACACAGACTCGACGACTTCCAGCCTCCCGATGAAGCCGGTTTCCGAAAAGGCTTTAGTACCATAGACCACATACATACCCTGCGGCAGATTGTACAGGAGACCGAAGAGTACAATTTGCCACTTTGCCTGGCGTATATGGACTATGAGAAAGCCTTTGATTCCGTCGAAATTTGGGCGGTGCTACAGTGCCAAGTTGACTGTCGGTATATCGAAGTGCTGAAGTGTTTGTACAGTAGGGCTACGATGGCTATCCGAGTACGGAACCAGAGTTCAAAACCTATCCAACTGCAGAGAGGTGTAAGACAGGGTGACGTTATATCCCCGAAACTCTTCACCGCTTTATTGGAAGACGTTTTCATGCTACTGGACTGGAAAGGATACGGTATTAAGATCAATGGCGAGTACATCACTCACCTTCGATTTGCCGACGATATAGTCCTTATGGCATAATCGCTGGAGGACCTGAGCACTATGCTCAATGACCTCAATAGTGCCTCCCAACGGATAGGTCTTAAGATGAACATGGACAAAACAAAGATCATGTTTAATGTCCATGTCACACCTATGCCGGTAGTTGTTGGGAGCACTACGCTCGAAGTTCTTGACGAGTACGTTTACCTGGGACAAATAGTCCGACTAGGTAAGTCCAACTTCGACCGAGAGATCAATCGACGGATTCAACTCGGCTGGGCGGCGTTCGGGAAATTACGACACATGTTCTCGTCAGGTATACCTCAATCTCCGAAAACTAGATTGTACAACCAGTGCGTGTTGCCAGTGATGACTTACGGATCTGAGACGTGGTCCTTTACTGCTGGCCGTATAAGGACGCTCAAAGTCGCTCAGCGAGCTATGCAGAGGGCTATGCTCGGAGTTTCACTTCGTGATAGACTCAGAAATGAGGATATCCGCAGTAGAACCAGAGTGACCGACATAGTCCAACGGATTAGTAAGCTGAAGTGGCAATGGGCCGGCCATATAGCTCGAAGAACCGATAACCGATGGAGAAGAAAGGTTCTCGAGTGGCACCACCCCCCCATTAGAAAGAGTGACGACCTGGTAAGATATTCAGGAAGTCGATGGATGCAAGTGGCTCAGGACCGTGCTTAGTGGCATTACTTGGGGGAGGCCTACGTTCAGCAGTGGACTTGTGAAGGGCTGTATTGATGATGATGATGTGTGAATATAATTTATCTTTTTACGTAAATAATTTCGAGTAATATATTGAAATAATTGTGATTTTCACGCTGATGACATTCGCTTGGTATGTTATGTTTTTCAAAAAACAATAGTCTTTTTGTAATGAAATAAAACCCGACTTTTATGTAGAGAATTTTGTATAGATTTTATAATGCCAAACTTCTTCATAGAAAAGTAGTCTCTAAATATAATTTTAATGGTTGTAAGTGTTTTTTTATTTTAATGAAAAAAAATCAATTTACAAATGTTATGTGGTTTTATTTTCTCTAACTCACATGAGTATCGGTAATGCGGGGTCTTTTACAATCCTCTTACTCCTCGTCCAATGTAGATATATATCGAATATATATATATATATATATATATATATATATATATATATATATATATATATATATATATATATATTCGAGTATATATATTGTTCGATTTTTCTTTGTTTCACTTTTCTTAATAAGATTATATTTAGCGATATTTTGGAACTTTTTTTTACTAAATTTATTTATAACTACAGACTTTTTGATGGCAGTCTAGAGACCTACGCTACGCTAATTTAATGTGGCAACTTCTAATACTATATTACAAAGTACTGTGATACTAGCATTCTCTGTCTACATAGAAGAGTTTTGGCGGGAACTGGCCGTGGACGGATTGTCGCTCCTGTTTTATCGCTTGAATAATGGTTTGAAGTGGATTTTGATTCGTAAAAGGGATGCGATTTTGTGAATTAAGCGTCCGAACTATTCGAGAAAACGACGAAACAAGTGCTTTGATGTCGATATAAACCTCAAGTTATTTTGATCGTATTGGCGCCTTACGAACTTGAGTGGCTGTCGTTATTTACTGTTCATTGGGTTGAGCTGTCGTCAAAATCTCCCAAGGGCTTCGCAATGTGACGCATTTTTTTAATAGGAAAGGGTGGCAAACGAGCACACAGACCACCTGATGGTAAGTAGTTGCTGCAGCCCATAGACATCTACATCTATCCTCGATCACGTATCAAAATGCAGATGCGTTGTCACCCGTGAGGACTAAGATGGAATGCCTCTTTTCCAGTAAAAAGGGTTTCCGATCTTTACACTCACCATTCGAAACACAGCAGCGTCAAGCTACTATTTCACGCTGAAATTCTGTGAGAGCGTGGTCCAAGCACCCATTCGTGCTACAACTATACTACTAATATAACTGCAGCATGGCTCTACCTCGTATAACACGTATATACATCAGCATATTGTGAAGAAAAATAATATTTAAAATGAAGATTCCGTAAGAAATAATACGCTTAGAAGGGCTAGAACCCAGAGTCGTAAAGCCAGTTAATTAAAAAAATGTCTAAGACATAGATCACAAACTAATAAGAGTACTAAGTACAATTAATAAGAGTACTACGTAACATAGAACAAAGAAAAAAATATAGTACTCTCTAGACGATCAGTTGACTACACCACAAACTAATAAGAGTAATGCTACACCGTAGACAGAGAAACCTACAGACTAATGATCGGCGTGGCCTCGAGTGAGAAAGGACGATAACGAATTTTTAGGTTATACAATAATCTTTATGACTTTTAAACACATTTAGATAAAAAAATTTTATTGTTCTAAGAACTGAACTGAACAAGATTCACCAATCTTAGGCTCACAAAACACTTTTTTCTCACTTAAACCAACTTGTAAACTCCTTAAATCGCTACGCTTTCAAAGTTGTTTAGCAAACTGTAGAGTTTGCTAAACAAAAAAACCGGCACGGTGAAAGGGACAAACAATCACACCGCTCTATCTCATTTCTATGCAAGACGTGTGCATAAATCTATCTTTTTCGTGTGCGAATGCGAAAGAAGGCGTCAATTTGTCTATAGGTTTCTCTGTCTACGTCCTACACTGACACTGTTGATTAGCTTGCTACATATTTATTTATCTATGATGTTGATGATGTGAGTTTCGCCTTTATTCTGTCGCGCATGCGCAATGCGAAGATAATTGGCTTGGAAATGCCACGACGGTTTTTATTATTTACAATAATAATTATTGAATATTTTTAAGAATTAGCACGCGGGCAAATTAAATTAGCGCAATGGCAATTTTTTCACGCTTGGTAGAGTAAAAAATAATCATTTTTCAAAGAGATATGGCTAATTTAAGTAGAGGAAAATTGAAAAAGATATTTCTGTTTTTCCTGGGAAAACGAAAAACGGGCTTATAAATTAATTAACGTAGGTCGAAAGGGCTAATTGAGATCTATAAAATGAAATTTTTTTATTCTGTAGATGCGTAGTATCCTCTTAGTAGTCTGTGGTATAGTCACAGAGTAAGAGTACCTTTGTTTGTATAAACTGCTTATTACTATCCACAGAGTACTTTTTTATATAGGGAAATAACACAGAGTACCTTTGTATAAACTGAAAGGAAATAATATCCGTCTACCATTGAAAAGAAAACGCAAATTTTGTTTTCAGAGATTCTCTGCCTGTGCCACTATTTTCTATAACACGTGTTAGATTTGAAAGCTATGTCTGATAATGATACAGACTGCGAAATAGAATATCTTGACGAAGATGCTGAAATTGTCCAACAATGTGTTCAAACTGTAGAAGAAGCTCTCGATCCTGCTCCTGTTGTGCCGGCTAAATTAAATGTTCCATTACTAGTTGAGAGGAGGCCAGTTGGTAAGCCTAAAAAAAAGAGAAAAGTTGAAGAAGATTCTGATTATGATCCATCTAAATATTCACCTCCCAGAACCAAGAAGAGAAAAACTCAGAAGATATTGCGTAGCTTTCCTTTAAAAACTCGCTCTCAAAAGTTTGAATCGCCACCTGCACGTGCTAAATCGGAAAGTAGAGAATATGTCCCGCCTAAAGTCACGAAACTTCACGTCCAAAATGATGAGTTACCGCGTAGTCAACTTGATATTCGTATTCCTGACTATGAAGATCCGCTGTGCTTGCCCGTACGTGCGATTAAAAAGGACGAAAACGACATGAAAAAATTAAGGACATGGAACAGTTTGTGCTTGGAACACTTTAAGCATAGCGATACAGCTTTAAGACCGGAGTCTGGTGAAACTCATGTAACTAAAAGAACAGTTGTCCTTAGGAATGTAAATAACAAATTGACAGGTTAGTTTTGGAGATATGTTTCTGCAAAATTTGGAAAAATGGCTTACAAGTGCTTATTAAATTTATAAAATTAGCTTATTATTAAATGAAGTGTAGCTCCCCCCCTATAATTACCTTACTTGGTGGTTAACTATGGGGGGTGGCCTATGTTCAGCTGTGGACTTATGATGGGCTGTATTTATAGTGATGGTGCAAAAGTTATAACTATTTTGCTGCACACCTTGACCTCAGAGTTGTTTATGTAATGATATCCTCTTACTCTTGCTCAGACACGACAACTGATGGTGAAGAAAGGTTCTCGAGTGGTAACCTCATACTGGTAAGCAAAGTGTAGGGCCTGGTTTGACATGCAAGAAGATGATGAATGCAGGTGGCTTGGGACCTTGCTTTGTGTCATTTGCTGCGGGAGGCCTATGTTAAGCAGTGTACTTGTGGCTGTAATGATAGTGTCCAAGAGAAAGCAAGAGCTTGATAGCATTTGTAATTGATAAAACTTAATAAATTAACATATGTGGTAGAGCCATGCTGCAGTTATATTAGTAATATGGTTGTAGCATTTTTGGATCATCTCTACCAGGGAAGGTGTTGTTAGTGGTGTTGTGTGCTGCTGTGTTTCGTATGGTGAGTGTAGAGAACCGAAGACCTTTTTTACTGGAAACAAGACATTCCATTTTAGACCTCACTGGTGACAATGCATCTGCATCTTGATTTGTAATCGAGGATAAATGTAGATGACTATGGGCCACAGTAACAACTTACCATCAGTTGGACTGTGTGCTTGTTTTTCACCCTATCCTATAAAAAAGTATCTTTTTATATTGGGGGTTTTCAAATACTAAAAATTTTAATTTATATAATTTATTCATACTTAGATTTTATGTCCATTATTAATTCATCCATCACAGCCTATAACCATAGGGGTATTCTGCCATAGTTGCCACACTTGGAACGCAGGTTGGCAACCGTAGTTATTACTTTGAGTTGTTTTAAAGAAGGTGCTGTGCTGCCCACCTAAGTGTCGAAAAATAAACTCATTACCTTTAATTTTTCATTCATTATGTCATTGGCGAATTTTACCAAACTGCCACAAAAATAAGTAGTGTATAAAAATGTGAAGGATTCAACTCAGCTGGGCAGTGTTCAGGAAATTATGACACATCTTCTCGTCAGGAATACCTCAAAACATGAAAACAAAGTTGTACAACATGTGTTTATTGCCAGTGATGACCTATGGATCTAAAACGTGGTTTACTGCTGACGGTATGAGGAGGCTCAAGGTCGCTCAGCGAGATATGGAGAGGGCTATGCTAGGGGTTAATCTGCGTGATAAACTTAGAAATGAGGATACCTGCAGTAGATCTAGAGTGACCGACAGCCCAATGGATTGGTAAGCTGAAGTGGCAATGGACCGGCCATATAGCTCGAAGAACCGACAACTAATGTTTAAAAAAGGTTCTCAAGTGGCAGCTTCGTACCGTTGGGCAAAGTGTAGGGCGACCACCCAGTCGATGAATGCAGGCGGCTCAGGACCGTGCTTTGTGGCATTTCTTGGGGGAAGCTAATATACAACAGTGGACTTGTGGCGGGCTGTAATGATGATGATGATGAATGTGTGCATTACTTACTACTATTGGGTTGGTCTGTGAATATGCATAAATACATTTACAAATGGCTAAAACAATCAACTAAGCTTTACGGAAGAAGATATTGAATTGAAGTCTATACACTATGTGTTAGCCCCTACTAGCCTAGTACCAATAGAAATTATTATTAGGAAATTATTTTAAGTTTTTTAGATATAAAAAAATATAGGTATATGTAGGCAAGCTATTTCAGTAAGTGTTAATGATAATAAAATAGAAGTAGTGAACACAGTCAAGTATTTAGGGATGTGGCTAGACCGGTCTTTGAAATGGAATAAACATATTACGGAGTTAACGAACAAAATTTCTAGATTTTTAAACATATTCAAAGTTTTAGTAGGACCTGGTTGGGGAATACATCCCAAGCATTTAAGAAGACTATATATTGCCGTTATAAGAAGTAGGCTAGATTATGGGAGTTATTTATTCGATGACAGCCGTCAAAAGTATTTAAGTAAGTTAGACAAAATACAAAATCAGGCATTACGAGTAATCGGAGGATTCATTAAAACTACTCCTATACATACAATGGAGAGTGAGCTATGCTTACCTCCACTAAATGTACGAAGAACCTTTTTGGCAGGGAAATTCATCTTAAAAGCTAAATCAATAAGAAATAACATCACACTAAAAATATTGAATGAATTAGCACATTTTAGAAACAATAAATATTGGCGTAATAAAAAGAAACCTTTACTATTATCTGTTTATGATCACTTCGTTGATACCCCTATTCACAGTAGTCAAAAATTAGAAATGTTTAATATAAGTACATGGGTCAGTAACATAGGTTTAAATAACATAGTTAATTTAAATATTCCGTGTATTGCACAAGCTAAATGAAATTACAAAAATTTTAGTCTAAAAGTAATATGTTTGGACTACATTAATAGGCAGTATGAAAATTATTATAAAATATTTACAGCCGGCTCTAAAGATTCAGGCGGAATCGGTGCAGCCTTTTTTGACGCACAATGTAATCTTAGCTTACAATTTAAGATAGATAGTAGTATATGCATCATGGAGGCTGAGCTAGTAGCAATATGTGAAGCACTGTCATACGCTGCATCACTATCACAAGATAATATTGTGATATTGACAGACTCAAGAAGCGCACTCCAACACTTGGCTCGGTGCACCTTGGGTACACGAGGCACACCGATAGCCTACACCGTTCTGGATACTATACATGGGTTAACATCCAGGTCGAAATCGATAAAGTTGCAGTGGATTCCGTCTCATTGCGGCGTGGAATATAATGAGCGAGTAGATATCTTGGCTAGACAGGCTATTACGGATGGCATCGAATACAACATGTTACCCCATTACACTGATTGTATTTGTATTATTATAAAAAGGCTATTTTACAACCTATGGAAAGAATATTTCGATTTACGTTCAAAAGAAAAGGGTATTTGGTACAAGACGGTACAGTCACATCCGCCTAAAATACCATGGATTGATAACCATAAGCTATCGCGACAGGATGCAGTAGTGATAATGAGGCTGCGTACTGGACACATTCCATTTAGAAAGTTTGCATTCCTTATGAAAAAGGTCCAATCATCGAACTGTGATCAATGCGGTGTTCCAGACGATCTAATGCATATCTTGATGGATTGTGCCCACAACGCTGCCTTTCGTAATGAGAAATGCCACCACATTTTAAAAGATTTCGCTGATTGTAATATAATTTTAGCTAAGCCACATTCCGACGATATAAAAATATTAGTCAAGCTTTACAAGGTGAAGTTCTCGGATCGATCACTCACTTCTCAACGTGATTGATCTGGGAACTTTTCATTTTTTTTTAACTACTAATACTTTTTGTAACTAATTGCATATCTTCTTCAACTTTCTGTAATTAATTATTGATTTGAGAACTTTATAATGTAATAATTTTAAGTATACCTTATGTAGTTGTTTTTTTTGGTGATGAATTAACGGAGCGACATATTCATATTGTGAATAAGCTCATTAGTAAAGAATTAAAAAAAAAGTTTTTTAGATTTTTTTTAATTCAATTTTTTTTGAAAGTTTTTTTTAATATGGATAAGGATTAAATTGGAATACCTAGTAGGCTACAATTATTGGATCCTTTGTATGTCATAAACTGAACATAGTAAGTGTGTTAATATGGCAAAAAAAGTCAGAATCAGTGTCAGATGATGGTAAAACCTTACTGCAGCTATATTATAGTGGTAGCACAAATGGGTTGGCCCACAATCTAGTGAATGTATCATTTTACAGGTAAAGTAGAAACAACAATGTGGAGTAAAATACAAGTAGAAGACCAGAAAGGTGATAAAAAGTCAGAAGTAGTGCAATGTGTTCTGCCAAAGTATAGGGAGAAAAAGCTGTTGAATTCTTACAACTTCATAGAGGCAAGAAGACGAAAACCGTTTCATCATATCAATGAAGTAATCCTAACAAAAGAGGACCATAAGGACGGGGAGAGGTTGATTGTTTATAAACCAAAAGAAACTCTTTCATTGGTGTACAAAATGTTTGAAACAAATATGTGAGTATTAATTATTTTTAATTATCTCATTTTAATATCTCCAGGAAATAGATAGATGCAGGTGACACAGCTTTGTGATATTCCTTGGGGGAGGCAGTGGTTCAGCAGTGGACTACTGGATTTACATTCATTATACATTATATTTCCATTGTAAGAATGGTTAGCCCATGTTTTACACTGTTTGTTGTAATGATTATAAGTTTTAATGTCATCATTCTATACCAAGATATTTCTAATTTGTTTGTGTATGAATTGAAATGAACTGAAAGTTTATTGTTTCCAACATTTTTTTAAATTATATAAATTTTTTAGAGTGGTAGAGCCACGCGGCAGCTTTACTGTTGCACATATGGGCCGGCTCAAACCGGGGTGGTACCATGACCTCACAGAATACCGGCGTGAAGTGGAAGGTCCGCTTCCGCGTTTCGTCTGGTGAGTGTAAGTAGCCGGAGGCCCAATCCCCCCCTCCCCTTAACATGGTTGCGTAATTAAGAGAATATCTATCCCATGGGGGTACCAGCACCCTTGGAGAATCCCTCGCTGAGCATCCACGACCAAGTTACTGCACTACTGATCGTGAATGGTGCTCAGGCTGCCCCGCATGTGACATTTACGGTTGATACTGGCAATGGAATACTGTTCCCATCTCTGGGCTGGAATCATGTCCAGAAATCACTCCACCAAGGCATGCCGAGGTAAAGCAACAGTAGTGGGGTGAAGAACTCGATAGGAAACGTAAGAAGGTAAGAAAAGCCCTAAATAGGGCCATGAATACCTCAATGGATGAAGACTGGCTACTATATAAGAAAGCTAAGTCTGAATACAAAAAATGTATCAGGTATCGACGCTCGACTGCGTGGCGTAAATTCTGTGGCAACATAGAAACCTGTGAACAAGCAAATAGGATAAGGAATATTCTAGCTAAACAGAACACGTCGGGATCCATGTCTCTAAAGAAACCCGACGGTAGCTACTCAACATCGCCGGATGAAGCCCAACGCATCCTAATTGAAACGCACTTCCCAGGTTGCTGCGTAACCCAGGAGGCAAACCGGCATGACGACATACCGACACCAACAGTAGAAGACTGGAATTTAGCACAGAGAGTGGTAACGATGGACAAAATCCATTGGGCCATTCACAGTTTCCTCCTATATAAGGCGGCAGGACCTGACGGCATATTCCCGGCACTGCTACAGTGGGGGGGTAAAGCCCTAATAGTCAGACTTGTCGCCATAATGAGAGCCTGTCTGGCTCTTAAATATGTTCCTAGGGGATGGAGGGAAGTTAAAGTCACATTTATACCCAAACCAGGTAAGAGCGATTACACTGACCCTAAATCCTACAGGCCCATTAGCCTCACATCCTTTCTCCTAAAGATGATGGAGAGGATGTGTGAAAGTGAATTAAGGGGGTCAGCGCTAACGAACTTACCACTACACGACAAGCTACATGCCTACAGTCTAGGCAAATCAACAGAATCGGCACTTCATCAGGTAATTACAAAGATTGAAGAGGCCATCCAAAACAAAGAAATATGTCTAGGTTCCTTCATAGATATAGAAGGTGCTTTTGACAGAACGAACTTCTCCAGCATAAAAGGTGCACTCAGTTAGACATAAAGTTGAACCGGCACTGATCGACTGGATAGTTTGCATGCTCAGTACACGAATAATAAAGATTGCTGGTGAATCTCAACCAATCCAAATTAAGAAAGGCTGCCCGCAGGGTGGGGTTCTCTCACCTCTCCTGTGGAATATGGTCATTAATGAACTCATCAGCAAATTAAATACTAATCACTTCTATACAGTAGGTTATGCTGATGACCTGACAATACTGGTCTCGGGAAAGACAGCAAGCATAGTGTGCGACCTGACCCAAGCAGTTCTCCGTATAGTGGAGAGATGGTGCAGGGAATACGACTTAACCGTCAATCCAAATAAAACGGTTTTAGTAATGTTCACACAAAAACGAATGCTGAATAACTATCATCTTCCAAGTCTTTTCAGCACAAAACTCCAGCTATCCTCTGAGGTAAAATATTTAGGTCTTACCTTGGACAGCAAACTTAACTGGAATAAACACATAGAAAACAAAATCAACAAAGCTAGTATAACTTTCTGGCAATGCAGAAACATGATTGGCAAAAGATGGGGACTGACGCAAAAATCATACTGTGGCTTTACAAAACTGTAATTCGGCCCATGATCACATACGGCGCTCTGGTATGGTGGACCAAGACAAATGAAGCCACCACAATTAAGAAGCTTCAGCACTACCAGAGACTGACATGTATGGCTGCCACAGGCTGCATAAGAACTACGCCAACAGCAGCCTTGGAAGCGATGCTGGAGCTAACTCCGCTTCATCTACATATACAACAAGAAGCGACTTTAGCTGCCATCAGATTCAAGACCCTAAATCTTTGGAGTAAGAATAGTGTCCCTCATACAGGCATAATTGATAGAATTCACTCAAAAATTCCTATCCTACAAGCCAAATACGATAGGATTCCTAAACAATTTGTTTTCAATAAGAAATACAAGATACAATTAAATGAAAACAGCCAGCCGGAAGGATTAAGCCCAAAAGAGCTTAGAGTTTTCACCGATGGTTCTAAAACAAATGAAGGTGTAGGTTCTGGAGCTTTCTCTGAAGACCTCATTATGCACATATGCACACCGCTGGGTACCTATAACACGGTCTTTCAGGCGGAATGTATGGGTATCATTCAAGCGGCCATAGCAATAGATGCTAGGAAGGCTAATGACTTCCCCATCAGAATACTGACCGACAGTAGGGCGGTACTACAAGCTCTGAGTTGCAATGGGGTGAACTCAGGACTAATATATGAATGCCATCAACGATTAAATGAGGTATGTAAAAACAACAATGTGACTCTGCAATGGATAAAGGGACACAGTGGATCCAGAGGCAACGATGCAGCGGACGAACTGGCCAGAAGAGGATCGGCTCTGGCCACTATAGGGCCGGAACCAATCGTACCAATCCCCTTTGGTAACGTTCGTTCACTGGTACGTAGACACTTCACTAATCAACACGCTCAGCTTTGGAAAAATCTAGTAGACTGTAGACAAGCTATGGAGGCCCTACCTGTAATAAACAGTCGCTTAACCAAAGTTTTAATGAGACTGAACAAGCCGCAGATCAGGATAGTAACAAGTGCTATCACAGGACACGGCACCTTTAACATACATTTATTTACTATAGGTGTTACAGATAGTCCCCTGTGCAGGGCATGTATGGGGGAGGAAGAAACGGCGGCCCACGTGCTACTGAAATGTCCGGAGGTCGCTACGTGCAGAGGTAAACATCTCGGCACGCCGGGATCACTCCCCGAAGTTGCATGCAACATCAAGGGACTGTTGAGCTTCTTCGGGGAGATCTCATGGCTCGAATAATCACATTATTCCTGCCCACACGCAAAATACGCGCATAGACGTGGAGTTGCGGAAAACAGCCCGTCGCAAACTAAACTAAACTACCTGTTCCCATCTCTGGGCTGGGGCTCCCCAGTGCCAGCTCGTTCCACCTGACTGCATCCAGCGCAGAGCGGCTGCGAATTGTCGAGGACCAAATGCTTTCCGATCGGCTTGATTCACTGACGCTGCGAAGAGATGTTGCATCTCTTTGCGTATTTTATCACATCTACCATGGGGAGTGCTTTGAGGAATTGTTCGGATTAATCCCAGCCACCAAATTTCATGAACGCACTACGCGGCAAACCTCCCGATGCCATCCACACCATCTGGATGCTTGGTGGTCCACCGCTGTATGTTTCACTAGGAGTTTTCTTCCGCGTACGACCTCTCTGTGGAATAGTTTACCACCGGCGATTTTTCCGCACCAATACGACCTGGGTACCTTCAAGAAAAGAGCTCACTCCTTTCTAAAGGGCTGGCATCGCAACTGCAATTCCCCTGGTGCTGCGTATGTTAATGGGCTGCGATAATCACTTAACATCAGGTGAACCGTACGCTAGTTGGCCCACTCTTCTGCAAAAAAAAATTTGTACGAGTTTGAGTACTCCTTTTAAGCATGAAGATACTTGTGGTAGAAAGCTCTCGCCCTCCCTTAGCTTAGTACATTTAACATAAGACAAACAGTATGTGTTGGTGTGTATGTGCTCACGTGTGTGCGTGTATGTATGAGAAACAGACAGTGTATATCAGATCATAGTGTCTTAAGCCACTACATTATTTTTTATTACAGTTGTTTGTATTTAACAGATATATTTGCAACATTTTATTAATCTAATTATATAAGTGTTCTGATTGTTTGTCATATTGATGTTTCGCATAGTTGATTTTCGTACTCCAAATAGTATGTTATGTTAGAGCTATGTTATAATTACTTCTACTACTGTTGTAAGTAGGATTAAAAGACAAAGACTTATGTTTTTTAATAAAGTGTGTAATATATATAACTGGCTCAATGAAATCAGCCCACAAAGTGAATACAAAAAGCTAGTGGACCTGTATGGCTTAAAATATGTAACCATCAGTGAACATCTTAAAGCTCTCTCAACTTCAATAAATTTACTTTTGTTAATACCCCCCCAAATTGGTATACAATGTATTATAATGGATTGAGCAAGCACTATATATATTTTATTTAAAACATCTATACAAGCAACATATCTTAAAGTTTTAAATATCCAAGTGAGCTTTCAAATTCTACTAGACACTAATTCGACATGCCTGTACCTGGAAAGTCGTGGATCTACCATAATACCCAGATACTATGTATATGAAACTTTTTCAAAAGATGTACACATACAGTTCGGTATTTCATTGTTTGTAGATTGAACCCCATAATGCCTGTAAAGGGGGAGTTACATAACTACACACACTGCACTGCGTTGACATTCTTAGTATCCTCCTTTTTTATAGCATTGGGTGACAAACGAGCACACAGTCCACCTGATGGTAAGTGGATGCTGTGGCCCATAGATATCCACATTTATCCTCAATTAAGAATCAAATGATCAAAATGCAAATGCATTGTCACTAGTCACCCCTGAGGACTAAGATGGAATGCCTCAATTCCAGTAAAAAGGGTCTCTGGTTCCCTACCTTCGGCGCTTCGTTTTAAAATGCCAGATTCTCAGGTGTACGGCGCACGCGGCGACCTTTAATCTCGCGGCGACACCTTTGACAAGATGTGGCACGTGCCGAGGCGGCGCGCCTCTAATGCAACCGTATTTAAGCCAACAGACTAACTAAAGGGTCACCCTCTACACTCACCGATACAAAATACTGCAGCATTAGGTTGCTATTTTAAATGTATTCTTACTTTTCTTTGTAGTGACGGCACTGAAGAAAAAGACGATAGTGATGATGATGAGCAAAAGAAATTTTTAAAGGAGGTGGCGAGCTGCAGAGTTTGCGCACCCTGCTACCAGATGTCTTGGAGAGGACTCCGCAAGAATGATAAGAGTAATTTATTTATCCTTTCATGCCTTGTTACTATAGTAATAATGTCCTCCAGATCGAATTTCGGTCATGGCGACCAGCCTCAATGGAGATTAGCCACCTGCACACGATAGGATTAAAGTGCCCGAGTGTATGCGCAAGCACATGTGCACTCTATACCCTCACTCTCATAGTCTGACGGGCGGTAATCCAACGTGACCAGAGATAGGTCAGACGCAGGACCAAAGCCTTTACACGCTTTACGAGGCACGGGAGTGAAATACCGCCAACTTCCTAACTCCAGGCAGCTACGGAGAATTTCTTGTCAGAAAACTTATAACGATGTTTGCCCTCCACCGGGATTCAAACCCAGGTAAAATAAAATTTACATAGTCATATTTTCTTTCCAGAAATAAAATGCCAGATCTGCTCAAGGGTTTGCCTTAGTGTTTACAATCTGCTGTCCCACCTCAAAAGCCACTCCGCAGAAGACATACTCAAGTACAAGAAGCTTATATCAACGGCTTTGTCTAAGGTGGGTGAATATCTTTACCATCTTCTGTACAGAAGTAGGATTCAAATCATAACTCAGATTGTTTTTAGTGTGACTTTGAGCTGCCAAATGTGAAAAGATATTAATATGATTTTTTTAATAAGTATAATATATCCCTATAGTCAGAGGTTAGCATTTTTCAAAATGACAACCTTACGTGACCGACGTCTCATTGCAGACTTAATGTTTCTTCACAAGTTACTGCATGACAAAATCAAAAGTATGCACCTCCTCGATCACATGAAATTAGTTATCCCATATGGATATCCCCGATATCCGATTCGCAAACTATTTAGCATACCTTGCCATAAAAAAACAAATTTAGGCGCGCATTATCTCTTAGCCAGAATATGTAACACATACAATGAAATTATGACCAAGATACAGGACATTTTCAACGACTCTGCCCGATGCTTAAAAAAAATTGACCAATTTCTTTTCGCCCTTCTCAGCACACACTCATTCCTTAGTCAGTTTTTTCTTAATATAAGTTATTATGCTAATATAAGTTAGCTAATCTGTGGCAAACCAAGTGACAAGTTGTAAAATAATAGCTCCCAACTATTTCTTCATCATCATCATCATCATTACAGCCCTTCATAAGTCCACTGCTAAACATAGGCCTCCCCCAAGTAATGCCACAAAGCACGGTCCTGAGCCACCTGCATCCATTGACTTCCTGCATGTCTTACCAGGTCGTCACTCCATCTAGTGGGGGGTCGCCCTACACTACGCCTACCGGTACGAGGCTGCCACTCGAGAACCTATCTTCCCCATCGGTTATCGGTTATTCGAGCTGTATGGCCGGCCCATTGCCACTTCAGCTTACTAATCTGTTGGGTTATGTCGGTCACTCTGGTTTTACTGCGGATATCCTCATTTCTGAGTCTATCACGCAGAGAAACTCCGAGCATAGCCCTCTCCATAGCTCGCTGAGCGACCTTGAGCGTCTTCATACGGCCAGCAGTGAAGGACCACGTCTCTGATCCATAAGTCATCACTGGCAACACACACTGGTTGTACACTTTAGTTTTCAGAGATTGAGGTATACCTGTAATTAGCCCAACTAAAACCCAACTATTTAGCAAAATTAAATATTGTAAATTGATAATATCCACCTCAATTTCTAGTTACAGTTGTTAAATAAGACTTAATTGTGTTTGTAAAATAAGTAAAAGTCATAAGTATTTTAATTAAATAGTGTTTTGTGCTTCAACTAAAAGTGACAGCTGTAACGAACATCATTTGAACTTTCTGTAAGTTATTGTAATTCTTGTTATCCCTTTAATATTTTAGGATTTACCTTTTAAATTAGTGCTGTTTCGGATTTCAATTCGAATTATTTATCTGATAATTTAATTTGAGATCTGTAAGTAGACCCATAGATCTAGATATTAGCTTACTCTGTTTCTTCGGTTTTCTTTCTTTGTTTTCTTTTGCTATTTACATATAATAGTAAAATGCGCCAAATGCCAAATGTACCACAAAACGCGCCAAATGGAGAACCAACTTCTAATGGCTCTTCTAGAACTTAAGGCGTCAAAGGAGCAGTGTGAGCTGTTGCTTAAAGAAAGGGATGACAACGAAAAGGAAATAATAAATATAATTGCCAAAAATAGTCAACTAAAAAGTGATATGGTTAAATTACATAGTGAGATTGAGAGGTTCTATGGGCAGCTGTACACATCATCGTTGGAGCCACACGCAAGTGTGAGTAACGATCCAAGAGCAAGTCTTACCCGACACTATTCCGATGATATCCCGGACGTCAGTCTGAGCGAGATTATTCCATCCAGCATCTTAAAAACGGCAGGGCCCCAGGCGAGGATGGAATTACAGCGGAGCTTCTGAAAGCGGGTGGAACACCGATACTTGAAGTCCTTCAGAAGCTCTTCAATTCCGTCCTCCATGGTGACATTACTCCGGAGGCGTGGAGCAGAAGTGCGGTGGTCTTGTTCTTTAAGAAAGACGACAACGCTCTCTTGAAGAACTACAGACCGATTTCCCTTCTGAGCCGCGTCTACGTGCTGTTTTCGAGAGTCATTACGAATCGTCTCGCACGCAGACTCGACGACTTCCAGCCTCCCGAACAAGCCGGTTTCCGAAAAGGCTTTAGTACCATAGACCACATACATACCCTGCGGCAGATTGTACAGAAGACCGAAGAGTACAAACTGCCACTTTGCCTGGCGTATGTGGACTATGAGAAAGCCTTTGATTCCGTCGAAATTTGGGCGGTGCTACAGTCTCTTCAGCGGTGCCAAGTTGACTGTCGGTATATCGAAGTGCTGAAGTGTTTGTACAGTAGGGCTACGATGGCTATCCGAGTACAGAACCAGAGTTCGAAACCTATGCAACTGCAGAGAGGTGTAAGACAGGGTGACGTTATATCCCCGAAACTCTTCACTGCTGCGTTGGAAGACGTTTTCAAGCTACTGGACTGGAAAGGATACGGTATTAACATCAATGGCGAGTACATCACTCACCTTCGATTTGCCGACGATATAGTCCTTATGGCAGAATCGCTGGAGGACCTTAGCACTATGCTCAATGACCTCAATAGTGTCTCCCAACGAATAGGTCTTAAGATGAACATGGACAAAACAAAGATCATGTTTAATGTCCATGTCACACCTATGCCGGTAGTTGTTAGGAGCACTATGCTCGAAGTTGTTGACGAGTACGTTTACCTGGGACAAATAGTCCGACTAGGTAAGTCCAACTTCGACCGAGAGGTCAATCGACGGATTCAACTCGGCTGGGCAGCGTTCGGGAAATTACGACACATCTTCTCGTCAGGTATACCTCAATCTCTGAAAACTGAAGTGTACAACCAGTGCGTGTTGCCAGTGATGACTTACGGATCTGAGACGTGGCCCTTCACTGCTGGCCGTATGAGGGCGCTCAAGGTCGCTCAGCGAGCTATGGAGAGGGCTATGCTCGGAGTTTCTCTGCGTGATAGACTCAGAAATGAGGATATCCGCAGTAAAACCAGAGTGACCGATATAGCCCAACGGATTAGTAAGCTGAAGTGGCAATGGGCCGGTCATATAGCTCGAAGAACCGATAACCTTTGGGGAAGAAAGGTTCTCGAGTGGCAGCCTCGTACCGGTAGGCGTAGTGTAGGGCGACCCCCCACTAGATGGAGTGACGACCTGGTAAGACATGCAGGAAGTCGATGGATGCAGGTGGCTCAGGACCGTGCTTTGTGGCATTGCTTGTGGGAGGCCTACGTTCAGCAGTAGACTTGTGAAGGGCTGTAATGATGATGATGATACAAATGTTTTGCAAGAAAGGGATCAGCTTCAGGGAACAGTCCGAGTTTGACCGATGCAGCAAAGAATATGAGGAATCCCTCAGATTAATTGCTGCATTGCAGTTGCAGTCAAATGAGGCTAATGAGCATGTGGCCGTGGAAGGAAAAGGGGAGATCTCCCACCGGGCAAGGTGTTATGCCCGGGGAGCGGCCAACACTCCTGGTGATAGTTCGGAGAAGTTCTATATATACTGTCTATGATTCGGAATGTTAATAGCGCGATTTAGGCTTCGGTGTGCTAGTGGCGCGACGACAGCGCCGCTACATCACCCCCCTGCTCAGACCGGAGGTCGATAGTGCAGCCTCGTTTCCGACGAATGTGCAATTGCCAGTGGATTGCCTTGTAGTCTGCGGTGAGTCGAGAAGAAGGCAAGTAATCTGCGAGAGTGCCGTGAAGCAGAGGCGAGCAGTAATGCTCAGAGCCGTGCCGAACACTGTATAGCGCAGAGAGAGCTTGAAGGAATAGGAAGCATTATTATTCCAATGCTGCGATGAACCTTCTGAAGCTAGCTGGCTTGCAGGATATGAAGACTGCGGAAGACGATTCTCAGTAGTGAATGGTAGGGGTTCTTGAGGATTATGACGAAGGCTTGAAAGTTGTAGTTTCCGAAGGTTATTGGTAGCGTGTTCAGATCACGACGGGGTCACCACTGTGGCCGTGGAAGGAAAAGGGGGAGATCTCCCCCACCGGGCAAGGTGTTATGCCCGGGGAGCGGCCAACACTCCTGGTGATAGTTCGGAGAAGTTCTATGTATACTGTCTATGATTCGGAATGTTAATAGCGCGATTTAGGTTTCAGTGTGCTAGTGGCGCGACGACAGCGCCGCTACAAGCAGATTGTGCAATTAAAAAACAATACTTAGATGATTAAAACTACTTTTACGGATTTTATCGCGTTTATTTTTACTTTTTATTTTTAATTCCCGACGTTTCGGGCGCTTTCCAGCACCCATGGTCACGGGGGACTGAGATGACTGACGTCCCGATGTCATTGTTAAACCCGGAGTACCTTCAGCTTTTTTAATTATTGTTTATGGTCCGATCTATGCAAAATGAACTGACTATGTCCTGAGTTCTTGCAGTGGTGTGCTTGGGTTTAGTTTTAATTTTATTGATTATAGGGTCCCAAGCAGGTGGTAGTACCCAGCCTCCTTCTCTATTGAAATTAGGATGTTTTTTTAATTTCAATAGCCTCACGTATCATCCTTGGTAGGAATCGGTGTTCTTTCGCAAGGATTTGTGGTCTATCAAATCTGATGTAATGGTTGGGGCCGTCTAGGATATGATCACAAACTGCAGACTTCCGGAACGTTGATGCTTCACATCAGCTATATGTTCTTTTACGCGGGTCCTAATTGATCTTTTGGTTTGTCCTATATAAGATAGACCACATTCACAATCAAGCTTGTACACTCCTGCATCTTGTAGAGGAATATGACACTTGACGGATGTGAACTGACTAATCTTCTTCGGCGGCTTGTAGAATGTTCTAATAGAAGCTCGCTTCAAGATATAGCCAATCTTGTCTGTGACACCTCTGACATATGGTAGTACAGCAGGCACACGCTCGACTGTGGCCGGCTTCACTCGGTCACTGTGACGTAGGCGCGGGACCCGAAGCTTGTTGTCGTGCAGAACTTGCTTGACGTGCTGAAGCTCGGCGGCC